GTAAAATGGGCAGGGCCATGACCATTGGCAATGTCACAACCAGACCCTGGTCGCCACAATGATACACAACACTGGGGGTTATCTCTGTATTTCTGTGGCACTTTGTGCAGATTCCAAGTTTCAGGTGAATGCATCCAATTGACATAACCTGGGTCCCATGCCCTGACTACACCTTAGTTACCAGAACGTGGTGACAAGGACTTGAGCCATACTCAGCTTTCAAATTGTGAAGTGGGCCCTGTTCCCACCAAGACTCAAAATGACAGATTCTCCACAAATAGAATGAGAGGTTAGAAATTAGGCAGGTAAAAAGCTAGTGCTCACTGTGTGACCTCACAAGACTGGGAAGACTTAGTGGGGGGATCTGTGTAAAGTGCTCGGCACAGTGCTGCACAAGGAGGCAGTTGATCAATTTCAGCACTGTTATCATATTAACTCAATGAGGTGGGCATTGTGCTCATCTCTAGGGATAAAAATGTAATAGGACACAATTTCTAATCAAAAGGCTCAATTATTTTGGAAAGCTTTTACAGGTAGAAACAAATATAAAAACATAATAATAATACCAGTTAATAAGTGCTACAGTATAAATATGACTTATAGTATAAGTCATATATATATATAGGATATATACTATAAGTCATACTTATACTGTGACTCATATACTGTGACTCATACCTATACTGGAAAAGAGGGAAAAGGAAAAACAATTCTGCCCCAGTCAGAACAGAGGAGAAAACAGACTGAGTTCTCAATCCTGAGAGTAGCATCATGAGAGGGCTTGGCATGTCTGAATTCCTATGACTGGAGCAGGTTCAGGATTGGGAAGGATTCTCAAATGAGTGATTTCACTGATTACCAGGACGTGGTAAAGGGGGTGACATAATCAGACCTGGGGGATGGGGTGACTCTTTAGGAGTGGTGAGAGAGTGGATGAGACCGAGCAGAGGCAATGTCAAGAAGAGTTCAGATGAGAGAAGATGATGGCCTGTTCTCAGGGAAGATGAAAAATAAGACAACAGCTTAGAAATACTGGATCGACCAGAAAGCTTATCCAGGGTTTTCTGTAAGATATTATGGGACAACCTGAACGAACTTTTTGGCCAATCCAATAACTCAGGACATGGAATGAACTACATTCAGTGCCTCCAACACTAGGAGTGAGGAATGGAAGGGATCCTGGGTGACTAAAAAAACTGCACAACTTCTTATGACGAGTGGATGGTCATGCTATCATTACACTGATAGGCAAGGGAATAATTCGAAGTAGTTGGGAGAGGAAAGAGAATGAGTTTCTGCGTGGTTTTTGGCTTGCCTCACATTAAGAGTTGGCAACAAAGAATGCAGCTGAAGCTATTAAATTGGCTATTAGACAGGGAAGATGGAAAGACTCTGTAGATACCTATAGTATTGATTCCTATAAAAATGAAAGAACCAAATCACAAGATTTTGCATGTGATCTCAGAGGTAGTTCTTGGAGACCCCATCTATGATAGGAAGTCTGGGGATCTCAGTTTAGGAATCCATGGGATAGCACAAAGAGACTTGGGGAAGAGTCTTACAGATATTCAATGAGTGAGAGTGAAGTTGAAACGTTTACAAACATAAATATGGAATACACTGTTAAGATGAGTGTTGGCAGCAGGTAAGATAGTTATATCCACCATGCTTAGTGACATAAGCTCAGTTTCCTAGAGTTGGCTATAGGCTTGCTGTTTGTTTATCCGTGCGTCCCATTTATTCAGTAATAACAACAGCAGGCACTGTTAAATGAGATGTGAAGGCCATCATGTCTGGCTCTAGAGACACAAAGACAAATTAAGGACCCTACCCTGCTCTCAAGGAGCTTACAGTCCAGGTGGGCGGTACTTGTAAATAACTAAAGTACCGATGGGGAAATGAGTGTTGGAAGATGTACATGCAATAGGTGCTAAGAGAGAACACCATATTGTACCTCAGTTTTGTAATAAGGTTTTGAGGGAAAACTTCTGGAGAGGACCAATAGGCTTTACTCTGAAGAATTAACTGTATTTAGTCTGGCAACACTTCAATGTAATATATAACATAGCTATTTGTTCTGTTTGTTCTATAGCAAGCACTTCAGAAGGGCTTGAATGTAAAGTACAAGAAATGGCAAAAGACAGTGGGTGGAAATGAAACTAGACAAGTAAGCAGGGCTAAGACAGTAATCTAAAAAGCCAGCAATTTCCAAGAAAAGTAACTCTGTCTGTGAGGAAGCCTGGTTTAGGACAGCTTTATGGATTTGAGCACGGTGATAAACTAGGAAACAATGAAGAGGCATGCAAACTCAATGAAAAGAAAAAGACAAAGGAGATTCCCCACTGTGCTAGTCAAACAAAACAGCTGAAGGATCATATAAGACATCTTAATTGACTGTGCCAAAGCCTTCGACTGTGTGGATCACAATAAACTGTGGAAAATTCTGAAAGAGATGGGAATACCAGACCACCTAACCTGCCTCCTGAGAAATGTGTATGCAGATCAGGAAGCAACAGTTAGAACTGGACATGGAACAACAGACTGGTTCCAAACAGGAAAAGGAGTACGTCGAGGCTGTATATTGTCACCCTGCTTATTTAACTTAAATGCAGAGTACATCATGAGAAACGCTGGGCTGGAAGAAGCACAAGATGGAATCAAGATTGCCGGGAGAAATATCAATAACCTCAGATATGCAGATGACACCACCCTGATGGCAGAAAGTGAAAAGGAACTAAAAAGCCTCTTGATGAAAGTGAAAGAGGAGAGTGAAAAAGTTGGCTTAAAGCTCAACATTCAGAAAACTAAGATCATGGCATCTGGTCCCATCACTTCATGGAAAACAGATGGAGAGACAGTGGAAACAGTGTCAGACTTTATTTTTTTGGGCTCCAAAATCACTGCAGATTGTGATTGCAGCCATGAAATTAAAAGACACTTACTCCTTGGAAGGAATGTTATGACTAACCTAGATAGCATATTAAAAAGCAGAGACATTACTTTGTCAACAAAGGTCCATCTAGTCAAGGCTATGGTTTTTCCTGTGGTCATGTATGGATGAAGCTGAAACTCCAATACTTTGGCTACCTCATGAGAGGAGTTGACTCATTGGAAAAGACCCTGATGCTGGGAGGGATTGGGGGCAGGAGGAGAAGGGGATGACATAGGATGAGATGGCTGGATAGCATCACCAACTCAATGGGCATGAGTTTGAGTAAACTCCAGGAGTTGGTGATGGACAGGGAGGCCTGGTGTATTATGATTCATGGGGTCACAAAGAGTCGGACATGACTGAGAGACTGAACTGAACTGAACTGAACTGAAGGAGTTTGGCCTTCCCTCATAGCTCAGTTGGTAAAGAATCTGCCTGCAATGCAGGAGACCCGGGTTCAATTCCTGGGTCAGGAAGATCTCCTGGAGAAGGAAATGGCAACCCACTCCAGTATTCTTGCCCGGAAAATCCCATGGACAGAGGAGCCTGGCAGTACCATCCATGGGGTCGCAAGAGTCAGACACGACTTAGCGACTAAACTACCAAGGAGTTTGGATTTTATACCAAGGGTAGTAGAGTGCCACCATAAGAGTTTAAAGAGAGGAATACCTAACCAGGCTTTCATTTTATAAAATGTAAATCTGATGGTACTGTAGAGACTGGATTAGGAGCAGACAAGATTGCAGCCTGGGAAATTGGTTTGGCGACTAAAGCAGTATAGGACACAAGAACGGATGGTGGCCTGAAACAAGATAGTATTGCTAGGAAGAGGAAATGGATACACAAGACAGACAGGGCTGTTGTTTAGTCACTAAGTCGAGACTGACTCTGCGACCCTATGGTCTGTAGCCCACCAGACTCCTCTGTCAATGGGATTTTCCAGGCAACAATACTGGAGTGGGTTGCCATTTCCTTCCCCAGGGAATATTCCCCACCAGGGATCCAACCCTCCTCTCCTGTACGGGTGGATGGATTCTTTACCCTTGAGGCACCAGGGAAGCCAGAGAAACAGGAAGCTAGGGGCAAAGAGACAGTAATGAATTGCAAGTGGAGGAGGAAGGGGAGGGAGAGGGTGAAGGAGAGAGAGAGAGAAAAATCAAGTCACTACTCACAGTAAATTGTGTGTATGGGCTTCTATTGGTCTGCTAAAGCCTTTTAATCTTAAATCCAAAATGAAGTCAAAGAAGTGAACTGAAACCATCCACTCCTCCTTCTTTTCTTTTTTCCAATTCGTTTTGAAATCTAATTAAATTTTACCTCCTGGCAATCTGGAATTAAATTTCTGAGATTGCTGTCAATTATTTCCTTTCTTGGTTTCCTCTTCCTCTTTGTTAATTCCCTATTTGATTCTTAATATCTTATGTTTTAACTCTATGCTAAGATACCTCATCATAACTTAACTTTCCCCCAAGAATTGCTGCTGCCGCTGCTGCTGCTAAGTCGCTTCAGTCGTGTCCGACTCTGTGCGACCCCATAGACGGAAGCCCACCAGGCTCCCCCGTCCCTGGGATTCTCCAGGCAAGAACACTGGAGTGGGCTGCCATATTCCTTCTCCAGGGCATGAAAGTGAAAAGTGAAAGTGAAGTCGCTCAGTTGTCTCCGACTCTTAGCGACCCCATGGACGGCAGCCCACCACGCTCCGCCGTCCATAGGATTTTCCAGGCAAGAGTACTAGAGTGGGGTGCCATTGCCTTCTCCGCCTAGAACTGTGGAACATCTAAGTAACTGAAACTTGTCCCCATCACAATCTTGTAGATTTCCCAAAGCTTTCCCAAACTTGTCCTTGATCAGAATCTTGTAGGTTTCCTGAAGCTTTCCCCTTGCTACTTGGAATGTTTCCGGGTAATGTTCACAGGGTAATTCTCTGTTGTGAGTACGACTAACTTTTTTTCAGCGGAGACTTTCAGCATTATAGTCATCATTTCATTTTCTTAAAAAAAAAAAAAAAAAAGAAGCTTCTTTTTGTCGTAAAGGCAAAACATATTTTCATCATATTAAACGTTCGAATATGACTCACAGGTATGTCACTTGCACAAACAGTAAAACAAACATTATATCTGGGTTCTATTATGTGTATACGGCGGTGGCAGAAGGGCAGAAGAAATGCAAAATTTCCATCCCAGATCCCCGTTCCCAAAAGCAGAACAGCAAGTTTGCTGCACGGGGAGGTGACCACCCTCGTCGGGCAGCGCTGCCCGGGGCTACCGGCGAGTCTGCCTCCCCCACCGCCCCCCCCCCCCCCCGCCTCCGCCAGGCGGCCCGGCCCGCCCGTCCTCTCCACAACTCAGGGTCCTCGCCCCGTCCCCGAACGACTTTCTGCGTCCGGGAACTGATTCCTGCTGCGGCCAGACTACACCGTCCCTGCACCCACAGTCCGCAGGGGCTCTCTGCAAGAGCCGGGAACAACAGCCCCGTGACCCAGGCGGTTTCGCGGGGGCAGGAACTAGAGCTCCCGGCCAGGCCAGGGGCGGCTACTCCCGGAGCAGACGAGCGCCCACCAGGTCCGGGAGGCTCGGCGCCGCGGGCTGGAGCGGTGGGGCGGGGCGGCCCCGCGCCGAGCGCGCCCCCGCCGAGCGCGCCCCCGCCGAGCGCGCCCCCGCCCCAGCGCGCGCGCGCCCCCTCTCGGCGCGCCTCCCCCTCCCGGCGCACGCCCCTTCCCCGCGCGCCTCTTCCCCCGGCGCGCGCCCCCTCATCCCGGCGCGCCCCCCCACCCCGGCGCGCCCGCGCTCTGCCCGCCGGGCCCGCGGCCTCCCCGCCCCCTCGGGCGCTCCGTAGCCGTGACGTGCGCGCGGCGGGGCCGGGGACTCGGCAGGGCGCCGGCCGGCGGGTGGAGACGGACCCGGGATCTGTCTGAGCAGGAAGCGAGCCGGAGACCGGTCGCCGCCACCGCCGCCCCGTCCCGGTGCCGGCGCTCGCCGTCGCTGTCTCCTCGCCCTCATCAGCCCCGCACCCCACCCTCCAGCCTCACCGGCGACAGGTAGCCCCGCCGCCGCGCACCTGCCCTCGCGTCCGCACCGGTGAGTGTCCGGGGCGCCCCCGTCTCGCCCTCTGCAGCCTCGCTGTCCGAGCCCGGCCTCTCTTCGAGGCCTCCGCCCGCCGCCCGGGGTCGACGAGCCGGCTCGGTTCTTCTCCCGGGGACGCCCGGGGTGAAGCAGGTGATGAGTGGGCCCGGGCGGCGGCGGTTCCCGGGAGCTCAGGGCTGGGTCTCATTTCCACAGGACAATGAGAGTCTCCTTTCATGGGTTTATCATCACCAAGATACCTTTGTGTATCATGTCTGGCTCCCAGGTTGAAACAGAGCACTCAGGTGTCCAACTTAGACCTGGACTCTCCGTGACAGTTTTCTCTTTCGTTCACGAGCTTAAAATTAAGTGCAGAAAGAATGCTTTTTGTTCTGGGATGTGAGAATCAGCTATTACTATTAATTATATAGGAGCCCGGATTGGGACTATTTAAAGTTGCATTTTTAGTCTTTTGGTTAGTCTAGTGTTTTGGGTATGTTAATTTATGTATCTGCTGCTGAACAAGAGCTTTTCATATTTTTTTTACAGTTTTAGAAAAAGTGTTATGTTTTATCTGGCGTGAAGTTTGTAGTGGAGGAATGCTTAAATCCTAATCTACAAATTTAAGGAGCTAGGAACTCTGCCCCAATTTTATAGGCTGCTGTTCATGCTAAGTAAGTTTTCCTGGTTGTTGTGCTCTGACCCTGTAGATGCAATATAGCTAAATATCGTCAGGGTTTGAGAGTTTTAAAAAGTGTTATTTTTAAGATTTAGCTGAAGGCTGTTCACACTATAAAATGGGAATCTTGAACTTGGTCATGGTACAAAGGTTGGCAGCAAAAGGACCTTTCTCTACAGATTAACTAAACTTCTTAGATTCCTTGGCTTGTGGTTTGCCATTGGAAATTGTTTACTGAAAAAATTACCTTGGTGTCTTTTATTATTAATTTTACTAACACCACAACTTGGTCTATACCCAGAGCTTGAAACAAAGCAACCTTTTGAAATAACTCATTGACTTTTAAATATCCAGCTCATTTAGAGTAATTTCAGTTGCACAGAATTACTTGCATAGTAGTAAACAAAAGTTATTTTAGTCTTACGCACATTTGCCCAGTTGCACTTGTATGTTCTGTGTGACATGCTATTTATTGTTGGCTTTTAAGTTACAGTTTAGTTTTAAAAAACTGACTTTAAGAGAGACTAATGGAAGTGGTGAGCAACTTCAAGAAAAGATAATGATTAAAAACTCTCTATATAATATTTTAAACTATGTATAGTATATATTTTTTCATTAGTGCCTAGAAACATGGACAAGAAAAATGTAATAAGCTAATGCAAAATTTAATGTAAATTCATGCAAGGTCTTAAAAGTATAAGTCATAACCCGTGGAGCTCATCTGAAATGGATTTTTCCCTCTGTTTATGTTTGTGTGATCAACTTTTAAAATAACAGTGGCCAGGAAATCTGAGAGAAGCTGAAGGCCCTTTTCTCATCCTGTTGTGACTTTGCCTGGAGACTGTGGTAGATTATGTAGTCCATTGTTTAGATAACCTGGCTATCTACGGGTTCTAAAATATAACTTTCTTTTTTTTTTGTTAATTAATTTTTATTGCAGTATAATTGCTTACAATGTTGTGTTACCTTCTACTATACAGCAAAGTGAATCAGCCATACATATACATATATCCCTTCTTTTTTGGATTTTTCTTCCCATTTAGGACATCACAGTGCATTACGGAGAGTTCCCTGTTCTATACAGTATGTTCCCATCAGTTGTCTGTTTTATACGTGGTATCAATTGTGTAGATGTGTCCATCCCAATCTCCCAATAAAACGCAGCTTTTTAAATAAAATTTTAAAGAAATGACCGTGAGGTTTGAATAAATAAAAGCACCCCAGATGTTTTTTTTAAGAAAACCTTACAGTCTGCTGATAATTGAAGTACCATATCTGTTATGTCAAATGGCAGTTTTACAAAGATATTTAAACTTTGTGAATTTTTAATTTCTATATATTAAAAACATTTTAAGTAAAAGATTGAAAAAAAGTTAAAAAGTATGACAACTGTAATAAATTCCATACAGTTTATCTGTGATCCTTAGGAGATATTTTGTATTAGTGTAATTGGTGATTGGCCCTTTAGTAGGATAAAATTGTCATTTATTAGGCGTCTGTCATGAGCAGAACACTGAGGAACTTGATCTACAAAATAATTTTCAAGGTTGGTGGTCTTGTGTGTGTGTGTCGTGTCCGACTCTTTGTGACTCTATGGACTGTAGCCCACCAGGCTCCTTTGTCCATGGAATATTCCATGCAAGAATAGTGGAGCAAGTTGCCACTTCCTACTCCAGGGGATCTTCCTGACCCAGGGATCGAACCTGTGTCTCTTGAGTCTCCTGCATTGGAAGGCAGATTCTTTACACTAGCACCACCTGTCCTAAATTGTCCCTTGAGAACATTTAGTCTCAGAGTGTAAATATTTGCTCAAGTTCTTGAGGTTCTGTCATTCCTGGGAGAGTCTGGATTCACACTCAAGACCTCCGACCATAAAAGCTCAGTCCTTTCCACCAGAGCGGGTGCATTTGGTAGACTTCTGGTAAACCCACAGAACCGGTATTGTGCTAAAGAATGTAACTGCAGGTTTGAAGGAGATACAGAGGAGTGATGTTGAGAAAGACTGGACATGGGATGGTGGAACTAATTTTGAATTCTGTTTCTTCATTTTTAGGTGGACATTCTTAAACAGTGATATGATGTTGCTTTATCATTTTGGGGGTAAATTCCAGAATATTACACGTATTCTGCACTTGTAATTTTGGTGGGTTATAGGAACTAGAATCAGACTGTAATGTAGCACTGGTTTTCATTGTAGCTAAAATGAATAGCATAATTTTCTTGGTTAGGATAGAACTTAAAAATGAGGTAGACTATTGCCCATAAATACAGTAGTTGCCTTTTAAATAATACATAATTAACTGTGTAATACTAAGGGGGGGAATGGTTTTTAGATCATGGTTAAATGGTGACCTGTTCGATTAGAACAGCTTTTTTAATGGCCTGTGTTTATTTCAGGAATGTCCCTTGAGCTATAATAGACATAAAGAACAAAAATGAGCACAGTCCACCTCCTGTAACAAATGAGTCATTTTGGCAGTAGAATGTGGTTCAGTAAATAGGCAGAAAAATGGTAGGAAGGCGAGTTGGGTGACTTCTGTTATAAGTGTTTTAAACTGCAGGGAATTTTGCATCTGGAAGATAACTCATATTCAACTGTAAATACAACACCATCATCCAAGGCCTAAGTGTAAATTATTAATGGATGATCTGTAACACATCTGCTTGTGTGTGTGTGGATAATCAAGACCTAACTAAAGTTTAATAAGCTTAATTCTGTTTTTGAGGGATATATAATGTTAAGAGGAACCAGGATGGGCTGCATTTAAAATAGTTACACTTTTATTTGACACATTTAGTGGACTGTTAATAATCTTAAAATGTAACTATTAGGATATCTTCCTAATTATGGTGCTCAGAGATGAATTTTTTTTTTTCTTATCGAGTAGTGTAAGAATGACAGTGGTTTGAGAAAAGACCACAAGTCAGCCAGAGTTCTCCCTGTGAGTACTGAAGCGTGGGAGATCAAACCGGAAGAACAGATCCGGCTAGAAACCTTGCTAGTATCAGAGAGAGGGGGAAGTCCTTTTGTATTCACAAAGCAGGTCTCCAGTGAAACCAAAATACCTAGGCACGTTCCTCGGGTGATATTCACATGCCTGCCGAATGACGTGCACAAAGCCAGGCGGCGCTCCTGGCGGAACCACGGGCATCGCCCATGTACGTTCCGGCACTTGTTCTTTTATTGGAAGGGAACCTGCCGCTTAACCTTTAAGGTTAAGGTAAGGTGTTCGATATCGCAGATTTGAAATACTTCTTTCTGTATGGATGAGCACCTTTTCCAACCAGTATTTACTGAGGGTCCATTGTGTCTGAAATACAGCTGTTAATGGACACTGGTTCTTCCCTGTTCTGCAGATCTTTGGATTTAGGGTACAGAAAGCGTGGCGCAGGTGCCAAAAGAAAGATAAACAGAAGCATCCGTTTAAAACCTCCTGAAGACTCTTATGTCAGAAGTGAACACCTTACACGTGTGGCGCTTTGCTGTTTTGGAATTCGTTTATGTGCATTTGTTCCTAGAGCAACTTGATTAAGTAGATGTGATAAATTTATTCCTAATCTGCAGATGGGAAAACGGAGACCAAAAAAAACAAAGTATTGGGTTAGTCGAAACGTTCATTCTGGTGTTTCCTACCATCTTATGGGAAAACCTGAACAAACGCAATGGCCACTGCAGTACTTTGTTCAAGGTCCCATGGGAGGTTGCTGAGGAGCGTCCCTGAGAATTGGACCTTCTACCTGCATATTCCCATGGATCCGCCCTCCTCCAGGTCTTGTAGCTCTTTGTTGTTAGTTGGGCTTAACCTTTCATCAGTTTAGTTCAGTCGCTCAGTCGTGTATGACTCTTTGTGGCCCCATGGAGTGTAGCACGCCAGACTTCACTGTCCATGGCCAACTCCTGGAGTTTATCAGACTCATGTCCATGGAGTCAGTGATGCTAGCCAACCATCTCATCCTCTGTTGTCCCCTTCTCCTCCTGCCTTCAGTCTTTCCCAGCATCAGGGTCTTTTCCAAGGAGTCAGTTCTTCGCATCAACCTCTCAGCAGTGACTTACTTCATTTTATGGATTTAAGTCAGATGGGTCAGAAAATTCTGGATAATCAGGGTCACTAAAGTGATGATTATTAAATATGTAGTTACTAATTATTTTTCCTTTTTCTTTTTTTAAATGTAAGGTGGAAGATGAGCATGATGCATTATTATGGAACTACTCTAACATTTTCAGTAGATTAATGGAGTCAGTGTTGATAATTAACTTTTCTAGTTGTAGAATTTTTAAGAGAAAACTGCAATTAGTTTCAAAAAAGGAGAAAAGTATTCCGGGGGAATTTTGAAAATAAATTTTATGACTTGGCACATCGGTATTGATCTGATGGATATCTTGCTTTTATAAAGACTCACTAATGAGCTGTAAGGTGTGACTGTGTTGCTGTCTATATGCCTTCATTCATTCCACAAATATTTGAGTGTCTGTCATGAGGAGGCACTGTTCTAAGGGTCCGTGATAAGGTGATAAATTAAAACCAAGTCCTTCTACTGAGTGACATTTTGTTATTGTTTTGAATCAGGTTAATTATAGACTCTTCATTCTAGTATGTGATTAACAGGGCTGACCCTAAGGTTGGGAAATAGTTGTCAAAGTGCTGCAATTTGAGGGCTACTGAAAGCCTCATTTGCTCTAAAATATTCTATTCCTGGCCTTCAGTCCACTGAGTCACAGCCGGGTTACCAGTCGACTCCTGACAAACACTAACATGTTCCACCTTTTATCACAGTTTCAAGAAACCAGGCTGAGAGAAGAGTAAAGAGAGGAGAGAGGGCTGGCGAAGTATAATTTTAACAGCCGCTGTTGTTTACTGAGCGCGCGCCGTGTGGCGGGTACTGTGTCAGCCAAGTGCTATATGCACCTCAGCTTGGTTAATCACTGTGTCACTGCAGTGCCCTTGGCATTGTGACTCTTGGGTCTTGGGAAACAGAGACACCTGCGTGTGAAACTCGCTCGAGCTCCCAGCCAATGCTGGGCGAGGCTGGGGCAGTCTGTGGTCCCAGACGGGCACATGGGAGAGTGCCCCCCCGCAAGTCATGGCACACAGCGAGGGGGGAGGGCTTGGTGAGTGAGGGGTGGGCACGGAGGGCCAGGAGAGCTTGTTGGGCGAGTGGGGGGAGGTGTGGGGGGCAGGGACAAGGTGGGTCGTTCTTGTTTGCCTAGCTGCTGACCCCAACCCTCTTTATTCCAGCCTCCAGGCCCCAGAGTTGCATTTGAGAAAAGGGCTTGCTTGTCCAGCTCCAAAGTGGGAAGGCAGGCAGAGGGGAGGGCATCCCGGTTTTGCCTCTTATTACCAGGGTCACATGGCTTAGCCTCTCTGGGCTGCAGTTTGTCAGATGGAGGCTACAGTATTACCTGCCTGGTGTGGTTCTCTTGAGGACTGGATTAGACACTAATACAGGGAAAGCACATGGCTAGTATTATTGTTAGTACACTGGGGTTTTCCCCATGTTTAACGTGGGATGTTCATCCAAAAGGAGAAACAAGCTATGTATTGGAGATTCAGGTGAAATCTTGAAGGGTTGACTTGTTTTAAGTAGTACTTAAAAACAGGTGCACACCACAGTTATCTGGGGAACTAGTAAAAAGACACCAGAGAGATGTGGGTCGGGTGTGGGCAATGGCATTTTAATAAGCTTCTCAGTTGATTTATTTGTGCACCAAAATTTGAGAACCACTGGTTGACACCTTTTCTTCATCCTCTGCTTTGGGAGGGTGTTGGCAATAACACCAAAACATTGTTTGGATTAACCAGGCAGCATGCAGTAGAAGGAAGTGAAATATCGGTTACCAGAATCTCTCCATGATTGTTTTTTTCATTTAAGCTTATTTGAAGCTCACAGCATTTATCTTTAGAGGACAGTGCAGTGTTCAATTTCACACTTTAATCGTGGAGAGTATTTCAGCTTGTTAACCAGCCTCATTTGGAAGGGAGCAGGTCATGTTTAATTTGGAAATGACTATACAAATAGCAGAGCAGCTTCCCAGATGGAGCTGGTGGTAGAGAACTCACCCGCCAGTGTGGGAGCCATGAGATACTCGGGGTCAATCCCTGGGTCGGGAAGGTCCCCTGGAGAAGGAAATAGCAGCCCATTCCAGTCTTCTTGCCCGGAGAATCTCATGGACAGAGGAGCCTGGTGGGCTACAGTCCTTGGGGCCACAAAGACACACACACACACACACACACACACACACACACCCCTTAAGACCTTTTAGACACACACACACACACACACACACACACACCCCTTAAGACCTTTTAGACACACACACACACACACACACACACACACCCACACCCCTTAAGACCTTTTAGACACACACACACACACACACCCCTTAAGACCTTTTAGACACACACACACACACACACACACACACCCCTTAAGACCTTTTAGACACACACACACACACACACACACACTTTAAGACCTTTTAAAACTTTTTAGCTGGATTGTTTTCAATAATGCACTGTTTCTGAATAACCAGTCTTGGGCTTGCTAGCCACAGCAGGTCAGGTCCCAGCAGAGGAGATTGCATCCTGGATGGCGCAGGTGAAGGGACCGCAGGGGTTAGAAGCAAACCTGGAGTTGGGGGGGTGCCCAGGGGAGAGCAGTGGTGAGACGCCCTCAGTTCTCCAGAGATCCTGGGAGGAGAGAGCTGGCCTCGAGGAGGAGGGCGGATAGGAGCCCAGGCTGCAAGGCAGGGAGCGGGGAGGTTCCCGGGGCTCTTGAAGTCCTCTGTCTCCTGGGTCTTGGCCCGTGGCTTCCGTTGCCAGGCAGCTGGGGAGACCAGTTAGCCTGGCTCTGGGTAGGAAGCCTTGGGCAGGAATGGATCAGAGGAGGGAAGGGGGTGCAGTGGAGCAAGTGAATAACTCAGGCATTGATTGGAAACTTTGGGATTCTGTTGCAGTGCCTTGGTGCATTTAAAATAGTTTGTAGCTTTGTGATTGTCTGCAAAGTGCTTGAGACTGCCTGTCTTTTACATGCTTTTAGAAAATACTTTCTCATTTAATCAAACAGTTAGGAAATGTGATGACCCGTATAGCCCGATGAAAAGCATAATCTAGGTAGGTTAACATAAAGCACTTTTATTCATGTGTTGTTATGCCTTAATAAGTCTTTCTGAAATTTTCTTCATTGGGTAGTCTTGGTGTGATAGACTGAATGTTTTTCATTTAAAAAATCTTTTACTGATTAAGTTTAAAATATTTTGGCAAGAAAAGTCCTTTGCCTTCTGGAATTTATACTTCCTATTAACTTGGACTGATAGCAGGATCACCAGAATACGGTTCATAGAAGTAGGACTATTATGAAATAATTGTTCTTCTTCCCCAAGTCCTTTTAAAGACACATTAAATTTCTGTATGAAGCTGTCACAGTGTACTGTTATAGAGCTGCCTTCTGCTAATGCCAACTTTACCTAGTTAATCTGAATTCTGGCTAAAAGTTTAAACCTGTGTTCTTCACTTTGGATAGATTCCTGAAGATTACTAAAGAAAAAGATTTCTTGCCTTAAAAGAGATGGCATGAAGGTCGATAGTTGATGAGCATTACTCGAGGTAAGGCAATTAGAATAATTTATATTTCCCCTCTTACGGGTTCCGGGGGAAGGAGTCCAAGATTCTATTCAGATTAAGCAGCAGCTAGACTGGGTCTTATTCACAGCTTCCAAAAAAAGAGCAAATTAATCAGTAACCAACACCTAGGTATGAGACTTAACATACAAATAAAGGGTATGTCTATGTAAAGGTTATAATTGGGGGGTTTGGGGGGAACAAATAAGTTTCTCAGCTTGTTTTTAAAAGAGTATGGTGGAAAAAATAAACAGGTTTGAGGTAAACAAAATCACACCTGTGCTTGGAAATCATATATTTAGATTTTTTTTTTCCTGTAGGTGAGCCTTTTTCTGAAAGGAGTGAGTTCAAACTTTTGTGAAATCTTCTGAAAGCACATTGTTTATTTTGATTTGATGCTGATAGAATTAGTATCCCGCAGGAAAGGATTGAGGCTGTCGGCTTTTCCTTGTTATGCTCTTTGAGTTTCCTTGATTTGAGGATTGAGTTATTCCAGAGAGAACTTTTCTCCCTTCCCTTGTTATTTTTTTTCTAAAATTAGATGAAACAGCTGTGTTTTGGTTTGTGGGCATGATTTGCTGTCTGTTATCCTTTCGGTATTTTGGGGAAGAACAAAGTATGCATGTGTGTGTGTTTTGAGAGGGAATGAATTACTTTGTCTGTGTTTCTGGTCTGTCATTATTGAGTTGAAGATGAGAAGAGCAAGATGATTTATATATCTGTTGTGCTTGAGGTTGCAAACAGAACTGTGGCTTGTGTTGGCTATTGAGATGATGGAGAAAACTATTCTAAAGTGTAAAAATAGTTGTCTTGTACCCACCTGCTAATGAGGAGACTCGGGTTTGGTTTCTGGATCGGGAAGATCCCCTGGAGAAGGAAATGGCAACTTGCTCCAGTAATGTTGCCTGGAAAATTCCATGGACAGAGAAGAAAGATTTTTTATCAGATGTGGTGGGGAGGGGGAGGGGAGGAAGAGAATTGAATGAATTTGAGCATATGACCAGATTCCCTTCAGATGGTTTTCTGGCCAACCCAGTAGAAGTCAGGGAATAAGATTTCAGTCAGAAGTTTGTATTTTATAGAGATAGATTCTGCTGATGAGTTTGCTTTTGAAGAGGGGGGGTGTGCAGCATACATTAGGAGTTTATAAGCCACTTGTTTGCTGTGATGATTTTCACGCGTTATTAGCATAAATGGAGACAGCTTGACAGCTGCATGGAATGTTAGCGTGTCAGAAAGTGGGCTGTTGTTTATTAACAGTGTGCCTCTGGAAGTGGCCCAGAATCTCATGCACTTTGGTCCTCTTCTCTGCGATCCTGCTGTTTGGTAACAACATTGATCTAGACTGTTTTCGGGACCTACAGACACCCGAGTACTTCAGCGTGCTTGAACAGTGAAAGACAGCAGTGTCTCGTGATGACGATTGAAGGAGCGGGCCCAGTGCAATTCTGATAGTTCCCGAGCGCCAGTGACGTGCCATCACGTTCGGTGCCCTGTAGTCCTGCCCTCATGAATTCTCACGTGGACCCTGTCGGGCGGCTCACCTCCTTTTGCAGCTGAGAAAACTGAGGTCTAGCAACTTGTCTAGGTGACACTGTAATGGGGGCAGGGCTGAAGGTGTCTTCAGGTGGTCTGGATCCGGAGCCTCTGTCCCGTTTAGAATGTTAGGTTTCCTCTTTTCGTGTGTTCTTTTAAAGACTTGAAGCTTTGAGGATTAAGCCGATGTGTCCTTCTCTGTCGAAACAAGGGTGATAACGTCGTGACCCTCAGGAGGCAGTGGTGTGGTTTGAGGTTTCTTGTCCAGGGCGATCAGTCCTCTGCGATGCACGTGGGTGTCCCCACCCACTAATTCCTGCTGTTCGCAGGGCCCCAGCCTCTCCTCGGACTGATGAGAGGGGAGACCTTGTGGATATGTAGAGGGTAAACCATTTGAGATGGCTGGCTGGTAGTGGTTTTAAATCCCTTAACCACTACCCCTTTCACTTACCTTATTAATTTGCTTTAAGCCAATGTATTGCTGTCAAGTTTTGTATAAGTTAAATAACTAAACTGTAATTTTTTGTTATCTTTGGAAAGCTGCTTGTTTAAAGGATCCCAAAAAGTGACTACTTTTGTAAGGGGAAGAATCTTTTTGTAAAACAAATGATTGTTTTCTAGATTATACTAATAAGTCTGGGTCTTTCACATATGACCTTTGTATAAACACAGACCCAGCTAAACACACATTTCATATGAATATGCCTAAATTGAGTTTGACTTCATACTGTGCTTGATATTATTAATAAAAAGGGATTGAGAAAATGGGTTCATTAAATGCTGTTTGTTTTATTTGTACTAAAATGTACTTTAGTAGGCTTATCTAGATGAAGAATAATGTTCTTTTAAGCTGTAGGTTGAGGTTAAATATACAGCACAACAGTAAATTCTTTTTGTGTCATAAAAATTTATTAGGTAAATGTTAGTGTTCTGTTTAAATGCCAAAGTAAGTGTTTTACATGAGTCTGAAATACATTCTCTAAAAATAACAGGTAAAGTTTAGAGTGAGAGTTTATGAAACAGTTGTTATGGTTGAAAAGCAAACAAGCTCTTGTTTGAAGCATACAATTTCACGTAGTCCTGAGTAAAATATTAATTTCCTGTAGCTAATACCTTGCTAATGAGGCCGTGAGCCCAGTTGCATTGTAATCTGTGTTCTCTCCCTGAGCACTCGACAGAGACTACTCTGTAACCTCCTCATTAATAGAGCCAGTGGCCTCGTTGAGGTCGTTCTTCTGTTCCAGCCTCTTCAGCTGCTGACTGACTGATCTTCCTTGAGCTCTTCCTCCTCAGCGCCTGTGGTCTTGCGCTCTCCCAGGCTCCCAACGTTTGTGGTCCCGCTTTCGCCGCTTGATTTTCTCCGCCCGTGCCTTTACTGTTCACGTCTCATGAAATCCTGTGCTCGGCACTTGTCTCTGCTCGCTCTGTTCGTGTTTTGATAATTATATCAGCTCTTACTTCATGCCGCTTTCCCCTCAGATTGCCTTCTGTGTTATCTTGAGCAGCGTTTCCAAACTGATGCTCCGCAGACATCTTCATGAACTGTAGACTGAAGATACCTGAAGGTATCCTCTTCACAGACACCTTCCCATTTCACACACTTCCTCCCGGCCGCCTCCAGGCAGAAGCTGCCTTTCCCCCGTTTCCACTGTGATCCCTACCCTGACGGTTCACTCTGCTTGGAACTTTGCCCACCTTTCCTCCCGTCACTCGTCCTGCTCTGTGAAGGTCGGCCGTGGCTTTCCTGCGCTCCTGCACGACTCCCGGCATTTGGCCTTTGCCCTCCGCGTACGGCCTGCCCTGTGCATTGTCTTGGAGTTCTGTTTCAGAGTAGAAATCTGACTGTAATAATCTCCTCCTCATTGAGAGTCCCTGTTTACTCCTTTAATACAGTGGCAAGTCCAGACGTTTACTGTGGGGTTTGACACTCTTTGCGGACTGATCTCTTGGCCCACTTTTCACCTGAGCTCTTGTCACACTTCGGCCATTGTCCTGAGCCCTGGCCCTGTTGACCTGTTCCCCAGACACATCCCAGTTCTCGCATCTCCCTACTCCAGTTCAACCAGGCCTTTGTCTGGAATACTTTCCTTTAGTCAGGTTTACCCATCTCTCAGAACCTGCTTGAATTACATCTTTGACAGTAGCTTTCCCCAGTTTACTGTTTTGGAAGCGTGCCTGTATTATAGTATTCATCACTGGTTATGTAATATACGTGTATCTTCTTTCATGGGCCACTGCTCTTCCTAGATGGTGAATGACTCAAGTGTGTGAGCTGCCAGCACATGATTTGGTGAGGTTTTATTTAGATCAGCAGATCTTGGGTCTTAGGACTCCTTTATACTCTAATTATTGAGCACTCTGTAAAGATTTTGCTTATCTGTTTAGTTATATTTATCGATATTTACTAGAAACTTTAAAAATATTTAATCTATTTAAAAATAAAAATGCATGCATTGTAGCAGAAAAGACATGTTTTATGAAAAACAGTTCCAAAACACCAATTAGTGAAAAGAGTGCCGCTATTTTACACTTTTGTAAAACTCCTTAATCTCTGACAATAGAAGATAGCTTGTTTGTCACATCTGCTCATGATTCAGTTTGTTGCATTATTTTTCTTTATTTTTTTTGGTTGAACTGTGGATGAAGAAAATCTGGCATCCCACAGATATCTTACTGGGGAAGGAAGTATTAATTTGACCGTTTCAGTTAATTGTGTGTGGATGCTTCAGACATTCATCACAAGTAAACAAATGGTAATTTCTTAAAGTCCCAAGTGGAATTTTAAACCATATCAGTAATTTTTTTGTATCCTGTTACATTAAAATTTTTTATTCAGTTTTGCACTTTAAGTGGGTCTTCTCCTCATATGTAATTTCATAATATGATGTCATGGTCATTTGGAATATACTATTTCCCTGAGTTATGCAGACCTTCAAAATACATGTAATCTCATCAGAAGACTCAAGTATTTATACTTCTACAGTATAAATTGTTTTATGTTCAAGGCGATAGATGCAGGTTTTCCCAGATTCTGCTTTCATTTGAATTTTATCATTGTTAACAAACACTGTCAATTGCTTTCCTTGATGTGCCTGGTTTCCCTCAGAATAACAAAACTTGTTTACCAAAAACTCAAGTTTGAGTTTGTTAGTCAAGGTTTGTTGTAACTAACCAAGGTTTGTTAGTCATTCTCTCCAGTGAAAATAGTGTTTTGTGAAAAAACATCAGTTTCTGAAAATGATAACTCAAACATTCTCATGAATGTTTTCCTTGGGGCAACATCATACTTTGTTTTACAGTGGAAGTAATTTGTGCACAATCCCCATTTATATGACACATTTATATTTGAGGATCAAATGTAATGAAGTTGGGGCTTCCCTGGTGGCTCGGTGGTAAAGAATCTACCTGGAAATGTAGGAGATGAAGGTTCGATCCCTGAGTTGGGAAGCTTCCCTGGAGAAAGAGATGGCAACACACTCCAGTATTCTTGCCTGGAGAATCCCATGGACAGAGGATCCTGGCGGGCTACAGTCCATGGGGTCACAAAAGAGTCAGAGTGACTCAACAACAACAACAACAACAAAAACATTGGAGGTATTTATTTTTATTGAAATATAGTTGATTTACAATATTGTACTAGTGTTGTACAGCAAAGTGGTTCAGTTATACACACACACACACACACACACACATATGTTCTTTTTTTATATTCTTTTCCATTGTGGTTTATCATAGATGCTGAATGTAGCTCCCTGTGCTGCAGTAGGACCTTGTTCATCCATTCTGTATATGAAAGCTTGTATCCGCTAACCCCAGCCTCCCCTCCACCCCTCCCCCAGCTCCCTCCCGCCCGCAACCACCTGTCTCCTGTGTGTCTGTGAATCTGTTTCACAGATGGGTTAATTCGTGTCATATTTTAGATTCCACATGCTAGTGATGTCCTGTGGTATTTGTTTCTGTCTTTCTGACTTACTTCCTTGGTATGATAAGCTCTAGTTTCACATCAGAGGTACTGTTTCATGAGGCAGCCTCCTTTTTACTGTGGCAGCCGTGACCATTGGTATGGTTTGTTTCCCCTGCCTTGATTCTAGCTAAAGTGGTAGAAGTTTTACCCATCATTGGTTCTGCATTATTAGGGCAAATGCCTTAGTATCACTTTGAAAATTGTTTTGCTGTGTTGACTCTCTGCGAGGGGCTCAGAATCTCCAGGGGTCCTTTAGCTACAAACTGCTGCTCTGGATCATTGTCCACTGGAGTTTTGTGTTCAGGTTTTCTGTAGATCTGACATGGAGATGCCTGGAGAGTTAGAATTAGACATTACCCTCAAGTTAATTTAATTCAGACTCCTTATCAAGAAGTTGAGGAATTGTAGCACTATTCACAGTAGCTAGGATGTGGATGCAATCTAAATGTCCATCGACAGAGGAATGGATAAAGAGGATGTGGCACATGTATCCATGGACTGTTACTCAGCTAAACAAGGAGTGATATTGGGTCATTTTCAGTGATGTGGCCAGACCTAGAGTCTGTCATACAGAGTGAAGTAAGTCAGAAAGAAAAACACGTATCATGTACGAATACATATACGTGGGATCTACAAAAATAGTACAGCTGAACCTCTCTGCAAAGCAGAAATAGGCGCAGATGTAGAGAGGAAGCGTGTGGACACCTCGGGGGTGGGGGGTAAGTTGGGAGAGTGGGCTGGACGGATGTACACTGCCCTGTGTGAAATGCAGAGCTAGTGGGAACCTGGCGCATAGCTCAGGGGGCTCGCTCAGTGCTCTCGGCCATCTAGAGGGGTGGGGTGGAAGCTGGGGGGTGCAGTGGGCGGTGGGGTGGGCTGGGGAGGGGCCAAGGGGGAGGGGATATACGTAAAGATACGGCTGCCTCACTTCACTGTATAGTAGATTCTAACACAGCATTGTAAAGCAACTGTACCCCAATTTAAAAAAAATACAGATTTGAGGGGAAAACAAAAAGGTGAAAAAGCTGAGGTTTCAAGAGCTAAAGAGATTTCCTGAAGGTCATACAGCCAAATCAGTGGCAGAACTGAAAAGATAATTCATATCGCTGTTAATTCAAAATTCATTTTTTTCTGTAAGTATTGTGCCACTTAGAGGTAATTTCAGAGATATTTTATATAAAGCTATGGCTACAAAATAAACATTTCTTTTAAAACCATAGTGTGGAAATTATCAAACAGAATTCTTAGGGGATAGATTTTTGAATCTCGTGACCCAGACTCTGGGATCAGCTTTCATCTGTTTTTTTTTAGCCTTTTTTGTTTTTAAATTTAGAAACCTTGGCTGTGCTGGGTCTTCATTGCAGTGCGTGGGCTCCCTGTTTGTGTTGCTTGAGTTTAGGTTGTTGCCCACTGTGTGGGATCGTAGTTTCCCCCCAGGAATCAGACCCGCGGCCCCTGCATTGGAAGGCAAATTCTTAACCACTGGGCCACCAGGGACGTCCCTGCACCTCTTTTTTTCAGCTGGTTGGCTATGAAATGGCTTGCTGTGATCACATGGAAGACTGGGTGACAAATTAAGATAATTCAGCAATTAATGTCTAATCGCTACTAAGAGAAACCTCTGTTCAGTTCAGTCGCTCAGTTGTGTCTGACTCTTTGCGACCCCATTAACTGCAGCATGCTAGGCCTCCCTGTCCATCACCAACTCCCAGAGTCCACCCAAACCCATGTCCATCGAGTCTGTGGTGCCATCCAACCATCTCATCCTCTGTCATCCCCTTCTCCTCCTGCCCTCAATCTTTCCCAGCATCAGGGTCTTTTCAAATGAGTCAGCTCTTCACATCAGGTGGCCACAGTATTGGAGTTTCAGCTTCAGCATCAGTCCTTCCAATGAACACTCAGGATTGATTTCCTTTAGGATGGACTGGTTGGACCTCCTTGCTGTCCAAGGGACTCTCAAGAGTCTTCTCCAACACCACAGTTCTAAAGCATCAATTCTTCGGCGCTCAGCTTTCTTTATAGTCCAACTCTCACATCCATACATGACTACTGGAAAAACCACAGCCTTGATTAGAAAGACCTTTGTTGACAAAGTAATGTCTCTGCTTTTTAATATGCTGCCTAGGTTGGTCATAACTTTCCTTCCAAGGAGAAAGCGTCTTTTTATTTCATGGCTGCAATCACTATCTGCAGTGATTTTGGAGCCCAGAAAAATAAAGTCAGCCACTGTTTCCACTGTTTCCCCATCTATCTGCCGTGAAGGGATGGGACCAGGTGCCATGATCTTCGTTTTCTTAATGTTGAGCTTTAAGCCGACTTTTTCACTCTCCTCTTTCACTTTCATCAAGAGGCTCTTTAGTTCTTCTTCACTTTCTGCCATAAGGGTGGTGCCATCTACATATCTGAGGTTATTGATATTTCTTCCGGCAATCTTGATTCCAGCTTGTGCTTCTTCCAGCCCAGCGTTTCTCATAATGTACTCTGCATATAAGTTAAAAAAGCAGGGTAACACTATAAAGACTTGACGTACTTCTTTTCTAGTTTGGAACCAGTCTGTTGTTCCATGTCCAGTTCTAACTGTTGCTTCCTGACCTGCATACAGGTTTCTCAAGAGGCAGGTCAGGTGGTCTGGTATTCCCATCTTTAGTAAAAATGAGTATCAGCTTAACATCTGAAATAGTGCTGCTGCTGCTGCTAAGTCACTTCAGCCCTGTCCGACTCTGTGCGACCCCATAGACGGCAGCCCACCAGGCTCCCCCGTCCCTGGGATTCTCCAGGCAAGAGCACTGGAGTGGGTTGCCATTTCCTTCTCCAATGCACGAAGGTGAAAAGTGAAAGTGAAGTCAGTCAGTTGTGTCCGACTCTTAGCGACCCCATGGACTGCAGCCTACCAGGCTCC